GCCGCGCCCGGGCGGGGCGGGGAGGCTGGGAGGTGCGGCGCTGTCATGGAGGACGCCGAGACGCCCCGGCAGATGGAAGGCGTCGCTGGAAGGCCTGGGGCGCCGTCGGCGACGAGTCCGGGAGGTACGCGGCGGGGAGCCCCGGGGGAAGACGCCCCCTGGGAGCAGCCTGCCTCGCGGGCTCCGCGGGAGGCCGAGCGCGGGCGCTCACGGTCTGTTCCTGGGTGTGTGTCGCAGGAGCGCTGGTGGAGCTCACCGCGACCCCCGGCGGCCTGGCCCTGGTGAGCCCCTACCACACGCACCGGGCCGGGGACCCCTTAGACCTCGTGGCGCTCGCAGAGCAGGTGCAGAAGGTGAGGAGGCGCGGCTGCGGAAGTAAAGAACCGTTTTCTTTCACAAGTTAGCCCTGCTGCTCGCGGCCCCAGTCTGACAGCTGCTTCGGGGGGGGGGGTGGAGGCAGGGGGGGCGTTTGTTCTCGTCCTGTCTCCACTCGGGCGCGATTCGCTGAGGTTCTTTGGGAGCGCGAGTTCTGAGCTCAGACCAGGCGGAAGCGCCTTAGCTGCAGCTGCTCGAGTGCCCAGGGGCTCCATGCGTGTGTAGTTTGCACAGCACTATCAATGGTCCTAATTTAACTGGCGCCTTAGCACTGGCCTGTGAGGTGGGCATGCAAAAGTTGTCCACTGGGCGCGTGAAGAGACGTTTCAAGATAACCCGGAGGGGATGCCTAGCCCTCTTATTTTAAACCCAGATCCGTATTGCTTACCTGAGAGTTGGAGAACTAGACCTCTTCTCGGAGGGGAACTTTTTGTTCTGTGTCCTCAGTGGACACAGCATTCCCAAGCCTAGCATTAATTTACGTATTCATTGTCAAAGAAGTACAATAAGTAGGAAATCCAAAATAATGGGGGGAAAACACTGAACTTTGCATCCAGGAGTTTTTAACCCACTTACATTGTGGCGTTTGGCAAATTGCTTCTTTCTGGATCTCAGCTTTATTATTGTAAAGTAAAGAATTTAAATTGAGAGCTTCAACATCGGAAGCTCTGAAAATTCAGATTTCATCTAAGCTCTCACCAGTCCTTATTGTAGAGCCATTTTCAGGATGAAAGCAGGCTTTCAAGCCTGTATACCCCATTCTTGTGTACCCCGTAATCACACTTGGTCTTGGTTTAAGGTCTTTATTTTGCTCTAAATACTTAATAATTAATGTGCTCAATTTCTCTCACATTTACATCTCAGTTTGCTTTTAATTAACTTAGGAAAGCTGCTTTGACTCAAATCTTGTGCCTTCTCTTTTCTGGAAGGGTGGGGTGCAAAGTACAGCTTTTTAGGAGATCATCATGTATCTCTTTAATCCGGCCCTTATTAGGAGACAGGCTGCCAGGGGCAAGATCTCAGCTAAACATTTTCATGGGTTACTGAGGGACCATCTTGTTTATTACATGATCTGAAACAGAAAGAAATACAGTTTTTATCCCTCACCCTATATAATCTAGCAAACTATAGAGAGGATGCATTGTTATGCTGTCTCCATTGTCCTAATATCATCAGGCTTTGAGAAGTTGAAGAAAAACACTGTAGAGACCAACAATTGAAGCAGGTACTCTGTGTACTAAGATGTACCTTCTCACAAGACTGACCTCTGGCAGGCCGTCTAGGTAGAAAAACACTGTAGAGACCAACAATCGAAGCAGGTACACTGTGTACTAAAATGTACCTTCTTGCAAGACTGACCTCTGATAGGCCATTCAGGTAGTAATGGAACACACTCCGGAGGCCTGGTATGACCCATGACTTTTGGAATCATTGATCCATGTTCAAGTCTTCAGCTGCTGTTTACTGGTGGTGGGGCCTTGGACAGATTGCCCCATCTCTCTAATTCTGCAATAAGATAGGGAGGATTTCTGACTTCAGCTCTGCTGTGAGATTTAAATGAAATGATAAAGGTGAAGGGTTTCAAAATAGTTGTGCCAGGATTCAAGCTTAGGAATTGCATGTATCCTTTTCATTTCTGTCACTTAAGCAGGCTCCTTTATTTAAAAGGAACAGATTTGCTGCTTAGGAAGAGATTTGTTACAAGGTTCCCAACCTGGAACCACATTACCTCTAGAAACTGCCAACTTCCTCTTTGATGTTTGACACTGTTGTCCTTGGAACAACATGCAAAAATCTTTGACTGTGGAGGCCTCCCTCTTATTTTACTTCCTTCTGTGCACCCCCTCCCTAACTACTCAGAAATGCCCAGAAACTTCTTCAGTTTTTTGCATAGTGGGTCTTTTCCTTTCATCCAGACCCAAGTTAAGTGCCACATCCTCAAGTTAAGTGAGGCCTTCTTATCTATAGAAGGCTACACCCGGCCCCATCCAAATGAGTGCTAGTACCTTGACTTTGAATGCCTTTAAGCTGCCTAATGCCTTCCATTCCTGTAGCCCTCACCACTCCCTTAGGAAACAGGTTATTTCATTCATTGGTTGTCTTTGGTCTGCTTCTACCACATAATTGTGGTTATTGCCTTTATAGTCATACCTCATTAGTATGTCATATTATATGTCATAAGAGTACATATAATACTAGTTTTATCTTTCTGGGGTCTGTATTACTCACCAGAGCTGTGCTATACAATACCATAGCCGCTAGCTACCACATATGGCTCTTACAAGGTGAGTTTTGTGCATCACATAAATTAAAAATTATGTACATTAGTGCCCCCTTATGTCTGATTTTGTTCTGAGAGAACCACATCCGTCTTTTATTACAGTAGTTTTATTATTTATTATTCAGTTTTATTATTAGTGGCTAAAATTGGTGTGCTTAATGTAGAAATTAAAATTTATCATAGGTATGTATAGGAAAAAACATAACAGTTACAGGGTCCAGTGGTTACATCCAGTGAGGGTCTTGGAATGTATCCCCCACAGATAAAGGCCGATTACTTTAATTTGAATTTTAAAACTTACTAATTGATTCAATTATTGAAAAATTTTAAGAATACTTGAAACAATTTGAGTACGTGACTCAGTTCTTTCAAGTAAACTGTGAAGTCTAGATATACACAAGTATTTCCAGTGAAACTTCAGCATCAAAATTGATAAGTAATGGGTATAAAATAGACAATAGAAAGTGTTAAATATCACAGCTTTTATGATTGTATTGGAACCAAATTTTTTTAATTTGTGGGGTTAAATAAAACATTATTATAATTAATTTTACTTACTTTTAGCATGGTCAGTAGAAAATTTAAGATGACACATGCAACTTGTTTCATATTCCAAAGGACAGTTGCATTAGACTATAGTCTTGCTTACAGGTGGAACTTTCATACCACCGAAGTCAATCAGCTTTTCTTGAAAGTGAGTTGGAAGTTTTAGACAGATTTTTTTTTAAAAAAGATTTATTTATATATGCATACAAGAGCTGGGGTATAGGCCAGAGGCATAGAGAGTGAAAAGATTCACCAGAGACAGGGTGGGGAGCAGGACAGGCCGATGGATTGAAACCCACTGCTTAGAGGAGCAGTGGGTGAGGCTGGAGAGGTCTGCCTCGCCGTGTGGGCCAGCTTCTGGTCAGCCAGGAATTGAACCTAGCTGCAGTGGCTGGGAACAGCTTGATAGCCATGTCTTCAACCCTTTGCTACCAGGGAGGCCCCTGGACAGATTTTAATGCCTTGAGTGATGATCCTTCCCAATGCATGAGTTGGTTACCCAATATCTCCTAGCTTTGAAAGTTATTTTGTCAATGTTCAGCCATTTCAATTGCCTGGTTCAGGACAGATAGTACTCTCTATATATTAGAGTTTGTTTGAGGTCTATGTTTAAATGCTAGAATAAAAATACACTAAGTAACAATTAGAAATGAAATTGTAAGTTAGAATGTAACTAGGTGTGATGTAGATGATTCAGCTGAAATAATGGTCAGATTGATGGATACTTTGTGGTAGCTGGATTTCCAGCAATGATGAGTCATCTCAAGTGCGATCGAATGTTCACTGTAAGGCGCATCCATGATTTCAGAAGGACCAGACAAGTTCATTGTGACTAAAGTGGAAAGACAGCTGTGAGAACCCAAAAGAGGAACCCTTAATTCTGTGGTGTGGGGTCGTGTCTTGAAAGGCTCCTCACAGTCAGTGCTGTTTGATTGGGCCATGGTGGGTGCAGATCATGGGGGATGGCGAGGGTGGAAGGGATATTTTAGGCATAAGCAGAGGTGTTGCCATCACTCTTTCCATTGGGATCTAAGTAAGAGCATCGTGTTTTTCTTACCCCTTCTTGACCCACAGTTAAGTTTTCTCTTCTCTGTAGGCTGATGAATTCATCCGAGCAAATGCCACCAATAAGCTGACAGTCATAGCTGAGCAAATCCAACACTTGCAGGAACAAGCCAGGAAGGTAAGTCGTGGCTCTTGTTTGCTTTGTGTGGTTCCCAGGTTTGACTGAGCATGCGCACAGGCATCGTAACTTACTTGCTTGCAGCACCTCCTGAAGATGTGCAAGTGGTGAGCAAGATACATTTTTTTAGCCCAAGAGGTTAAGTGTAAGGTTTTTTTCACTGAGAGGAAGTTTAGTGAGGTAAAACATTTTATTTTATTTTATTTAAAGATTTATTTATTTATGTATACAGAACTGGGGTACAGGCCAGAGGTGTGGGGGAGGGGTGAGAGGATTCACCAGAGACAGAGTGGGGAGCAGAACAGACAGATCAAGCAGGTCAGGAGAGGCGGGTCAGCAGAACAGGCAGGTCAGGAGAAGTCTGCTGTGCCATGTGGGTCACCTCCCTAGCGAGGGATTGACTCATGCTGCAGTGGCTGTGATAGCTTCATAGTGCTGTGCTATTTACCCATTCTGTCACCAGGGAGGGCTCGAGGTAAAACATTTGAAAGTTAAGTATATCTTATTAAAGAAAAATTTTTATTGTAGAAAAAATAGGAAAGAAATTTTAAAACCAATCAAGGCCAGTGATGATCAGCATTTTGAAATGCAGTTCTTCTAAAGGCATTTTTTTAAAAAAGATATATTTGTTTATTTATGCAGATAAGAACTGGGGTGTAGGCCAGAGGTGTGGCAAGAGAGGATCCACTAGTGACAGAACAGAACAGGCAGCTTGACTGAAATACATTGCTGAGGGGAACAGCGGGCGGGTCAGAAAAGGTCTGCTGTGCCATGTGGGTCAGCTCCCTGGCAGGGGTTTGCTTCATAGTGTTGAGACTTGACCCTTTGCACCTTCTACAGGAATTTTTACAGCATAGCAGCGTAGTCTAATTTTTGTCCCTTCAGAATCATCTGGATCCCAGCAGTGACTCATTGCTATGGGGGAGTGACAGCCTAATCATTGAACAGTTTCCAGATTTTGATTGGGATGACCCCTGGCATGACTGCCTGTTACCTCCAGTACCTAACTAGTTACATCTCTGTGACTGCCTGTTACCTCCGGTACCTAACTAGTTATATCTCTGTGACTCTTAGGTGTTGGAAGATGCTCACAGAGATGCTGATTTGCACCATGTAGCTTGTAATATAGTGAAAAAGCCTGGCAACATATACTACCTTTATAAGCGGGAGAGTGGTCAGCAGTACTTTTCCATTATTTCTCCAAAGGTAAGAATATTTATCTCTCACACAAAGACCTACTCTAGTCTTGGAGAAATTCCTGGTGTGTTTGTGTGAAAATATAGGCAGAGGGGTTGGTGAATGGTTTCATAGAAAATGGAAAGTTGTATGTGCCCAAACATAACTTTTTAAAAAATGTCCTTGTGCTAAAAATATTTCATAAGTATTACTTCTGTTAAGGAAGGTCTCTGATGGGTAATGTAATGATTTCCAAAGGTGATTCTGGCTGGTCTGACATGAAAAGCCAAAAAAGAAATTTGTGGCATAATTAGGAAATGAGCTCAGTTTCTGTACCGCCTGCCCTGATGAGATTGGACTCCTTTGCCTTCTCTAGGAGTGGGGGACAGGTTGCCCACATGAGTTCCTTGGTGCCTTCAAACTCCAGCACGACTTGTCCTGGACTCCATATGAAGACATTGAGAAGCAGGATGCTAAAATCAGCATAGTGAGCAAGTTGCTAAGCCAGCCAGTGGCCCTGCCTCCAGGCGCTGAGCCCAGCCTCCAGGGACTGACACACTGAGAGTGGACACTGGCAGCCTGCTGGCACAGCCGGGACCCGCCGCCTCCGCCTTGTCCCTCTCTGCTTCAGTGGGAGCTGCGTGAGAACTGAGGGGATGTTGGTGAATCATGAACTTCTTAGAAACCTGTATGAATGTAAATGTTGTCATTGTTAATCACGTATGGGTGGGATGGTAATGATTTACATTTTGGGATCCTCTCTGGGCCACAGGTCCCTAATCCATCAGTTAGGCATGCTTGTGTGTCCTCCCCATCTCCTCATTGCCATCTGTTACCCTCAGAAATCAGAGCATGAGAGAAAGAGAAGTCTCTTCTTCCCACAGTCAGGTTGGCAATTCTTCTGCTGAATAGGCTGCTTTTAGTCTTTAGGAACTGGAAATGTTTAAGATTGGGGCTGGCTCTCAACAATGTAACTTCGGCTTCAGATTCATCTGGAGCAAGAATGTTGGGTGGAGGAGGATTATAAACAGCTTCACTTGCCTGGAGTAGAGAGTGTGATGCTGGTACGTCTGCACCACTGGGGAGGTTTGAGCTGCCCTTTCTGCCTAGCTAGAGTGACCAGAGAGCCTGAGGCAGCAGCACTGGCTAGGATTGGGGTGGGTCAGCTTCTAACACAGGTTTTGGACTTGGAGGAGATGCGGTGCTGGTTGTAGGTGGCACTGGGCATTGTAGGAATGCACTCAGCAGCTTGGCGAGGAGAAGGTTGAGTCCAGTGGCAGCAGCAGGACAAATCATGTACACAGCTGCTTTAAAATACTATGAAAAAGAAACTAGAGCAATGGTGAGAAACAAGAAAACAGCCGTTGCGTTGATTATAAGTTAGTTCAGATGGAAACTCAGTTTGACCTGAATTATTTGCAAACTTAGAACTGAGGCTTTTGAGCTAGATTATTCTTTTCTGATTTGAGAGGGGTCCTTGTGAGACTCTTCTTTATTTTGTTTGTTCAGAGTATTAACTAACTTTACACGCAGGCTATACTGATACTGGTGCCATGTAATCTATAAGAACATGCTTTAATGTACTAAGAGATGTGTACTTGAAACTACTTCTAAGTTCCTTACTGGGGGTGGATGTCTGTCGTGCAATTTTCTTGAGGATACCCTAACCCCATTCTGGTGTTCTTGGCCTGGTCTTATAAGCTGTGCTTCTTGTGAGTTATATGTGGCCTGCAAAATCCTAGCATAAGATGGGGCTTGAACCTGACAAGGTCCCACGGGTGATACTGGGTGACTCAGTTCACGGGGCAATGTTCTGTTGAACCAGCTGCAAAAGCCTGAGTGGACACACACACAGTAGCTGATTCTGACTTGCGAAAGCACCCCAGCTTGTCAGAAGGCTCAGAGCTGCATGATAATGATATATTTTGAGTAGGTGCTTTATTGCTGCATAAATAACCACACATTTAATGACTTAAAACATATATTTAGTATTTCATAGTAGACCAGGGGTCATCTTCACTTAACTGGGTCCTCCGCTTCAGGGTTTCTCACAAGGCTGCAATCACGTTACTGGCCAGGGCTGGGTTCTCATCTGAAGGGAGACTCAACTGGAGGAGGATCTGCTTTCCAGCGTACTGCGTTGCTGGCAGAATCTCCTTCCTCAAGGGTTGATGGGCTGAAGCGCTCTGCTCACTAACATACTGTCAGCCCAAGGCTGCCTTCAGGCCTCTGCTACTTGGGCGTAGCCAAAACGACAACTTTCTTTGTCCAAGTCAGCAAGGATGAGGGTCTGCTAGTAGGATGGAAGCTATATACTCATGTAGGAATTTTTAGTAGTTTATGGCTGCTTAAAATTGCCACAAAGTGACACAATCCCTTTAATACCATGTATTCTATTGCTTAGAAGCAAGTCACAAGGTCAGCCTACACTCAGTGGAGGGAACACTGGGGCCTGACTACTGGAAGGCAGGGATATTGAGTCATCGGAAAGGTCCCACTGTCAATCTTCTTGCCACAGTGCACAGAGACAGAGAAAGGCGTGTGGGGTAAAAGGCAGGGTGACAAGGCGGCTAATGAGCATGGTGGTGTTCAAGCCACATCTGGACTTGTCTCTCAACCCTGACAAAGTAGCCGCCCACCTGGGACCCTGCTGCCTCCTCTGCCCCTCTCCAGCCCTTTCTGTGTAGGGCATCAGCCAGCTGCTGTGAAAATGAAAGTCTTCCTCATTCTTGAGGTAACTACTCGGACAGAAAAACAGTGTATCCAACAAAGAGAACTCCCTTCTGCTCAATAAGGTGCATCCCCCACACTGGCCACCAGCTTGTATCATTGCTCTTTTCCTGATTAAGCAATCACAGAGCTCAGGGAAAGTGGAGGTAGCTCTCAGAATGGGGAAGAAGGGTGCAGTAATACAGTGACCATTTTTCGTTCACTTGTCCATCTGTCTATCTGACCATTTCTTGAGATTAGGTACTTTGTAGTTCCAGGTTCTGGAGAGTGAACAGATGAGGAAGACAGGCCCCTGTTTGTAAGCAGCTCACAGCTTTATAGGCTATGAAAGCAAGTCAAGCTCACAACACGGTAGAAGAAGGGCTAGGACAGGCATTTGTGGAGCATGGTATCCTGTGGAGCGGCGCCTGACACCTTGGAGACTGGCAAGACTCCTTGGAGTAGCTGATACCTGTGTAGAGGTTAAATAAGTTAATGCTTGTGTCAGCTACAACCTTCCCCTCTACAGAGATTGTCTTCAGGGGTTCAGTTGGGGTTTACTTTTGGATGGGGTTTGTGAGTGGAAAAGGGATATCCACTTAACCATATCAATCACTTGACAATCAGGATGGGTGAGGAGAGAGACGTGTGTGCTAGAAAACTTGCTTCGCACAGCTAAGAGATAGGTAAGTGAAGACTGGGATGAAAATCAATGGCAGACCAAAAAAAAAAAGAAAAGGTGAAGGTTGTTGACAAGGCAATAAGACATTTGGGGGGTTGTAGCCAGTTTCAGGTGAAGAACTTTGCCAGGGGTGAAAGGAGAAGAGCAAGTTAAGGGGTTTGAGGTAACACTGCCCTTCTAGCATCTCATTTTGGCAGCATAGGGGCGGGGAGCGAAGACCACTAGCGGCCTCCATCCCCACCCCTCGTCCAGGCACTGGCCGACAGAGATCTGAACTGAGACAGGGGAGGTGGAAAGAGTTGCCTTGTTTCATCAATTTAAGGGATACTGTTCTTCCCCCATACTTTAATACTTCTGAAACCGGGATGCTTCTAAAAGATGACAGCCTGTTATAATGTAAGTGGCAGCGTATTTTTTTTCTTAGGGTGACATAAAACAATGATGTTTTTGAATGGTATGCTAGATTTGTTTAAAAAGATTGATTTATTTATGCACACAAGAACTGGGGTACAGGCCAGAGGTGCAGGGGTGGGTAGGGGGGCTTACAGGATTCACCAGAGACATAATGGGGAGCAGAACAGGCAGATCTACTGAAACATACTGCTGAGGGAAGCAGGGGTGAGACAGGAGGGGTCTGTGAGGAGACTGAGGCTCCCCTGCAAAGGAGGCCCCTCTTCCCGCTCCCTAAAGCCCTGCTGCCCCACCCCTTCCTCAGGGATTGTGAGCTAAGAGCTTGGACCAGAGGCTTGGGGCCAGGGTGGCTCCACCGCCTCACCTGGGCTGGCCCCTCCAGCGCACAGGAACTGGGGAAAGAGCAGGCCGCGCCCCATCTAGGAATGCCCTGTCCCAGGTAAGCCTCCGCCCCCACAGAGCCCTGGCGGCCAGGCCCACGCGGAAGGAATAGTGTGGAACGAGCTGCCCAGCCCCACCTCTCCCATCTGTCCTTGGGGGTGGAGGGTTCTTCCAGGAGTGGGGCCTGACAGGCAGGCAGGAAGGGAGAGGAGGGGAGCTTTGGGGGTGCCAGACGGACTTAGGGCAGAGGCTGGTCTCCTTTGCCGCTTGCTGGCCGCTGGCAGCAGGGCAGAGAGGAAGGGAGATGGCACTTTCTGTGGAGAACACGCTGGCTCTGTCTCCCTTCTCTTCTCCTGTCGGCTCTGTCTCGCCTCTCTTCTCCTGTCGGAGCTCGGCCTGTGGTTCAGCTTGGGACTGTCAGAGCAGGACCGGGGGCATCTCAGTGCAGCCTTGTCCTCAGGGAGTGAGCCTGGGGCAGTGGAGCCTGGGCTTGCAGCAGGTGCCCTTTATGCTCCATTCCCCTTAGCCTCTCTCTCTGGAAGAGGGGGTTACCCCTCCCCAGTGCATTTTTTATTCCTTTGGGGTTCACCACTAAGTATTAAAAGTAGTTTTGCTATAACACACACACACACACACACACACACACACATACACACACACCGACTCCTGTGACAAAAGGCTTATCTCTCAGATTGTGGAGAGGGCTCAGAGCCCCTTGTGCCCTGAGTGGTGGGGGTGTCAGGAGGGCCACACTTGTGTGGAGGGAGATCTGTGTGCTGGGTGCTGTCAGAGAGGGAGTGGAGACACGGCTGGACTGGCCCACTCACTTTGCTCTAGAATGTTCCCAAGGCACCCGCCTTCTGCACCTTTGTCTTCATGCCTGTCTCCCTCCTGTCAGTCAGTGATACACTATTGGGAGGTGTACTTCTGGGGTGAGGCCTGGGGGGGACAGGAGCACCCTGGTCCCTGGGGGCCTCTGGCACTCTAACCTTGGGAACCCCTTGCCTGGACTCCAGGTCAAAGCACCAGTTTCTTTCTGACCAATGACCAGAGTCACGCCCAGATGAATGAATTTTCCTGCAAGGATGTTGCCAATGCCTTGTCCCTGGCCAACATGATCCTGGGACTCTTCTCCATCATCTGCAGCTTCTGCAAGTAGGTTTGGGACCCAGCAAGCTCTTAGCCAAGAGCTGAACCAGTGGTGTGAGGGGAGGGAGCCGGGCACCTCGCCTGGGGCCCAACGAGGAGCAGGGGAAAATGCAGTGAGGGGATTGGAAGCCAGGGATGGTTCCCTAGCCTCAGTTTCACCAAGGCCTGAGCTGGGCCCTGTTAGATCACATCCCGAGCCTCCATTTCTCCACTCGTAAAACAAGGCGCTTGTACTGTACTCTCCATTGTCTTCAGCTATGCCAGTCTAGAATGCTTTTATGAGAAAAGCAAGTGTTCTGGCAGCCTTTACACAATCCCTTGTGTAGTCCTAAGAGGATACTGCTCATGTTTCTGTAATTCTTAAATATGGCAAAATATGTGAAATTAGCACTGTACTTTATGTTATCAAGAAGTTACATTTCTATAATCGAATCATATTTCAGTGCCTTTGGGAAATGAGCTCTCTAAAGATAAAGTTGAATCCTTAAAATGCCTGAGAGCATCTGCCTAATCTAATCGCTATAAACATCAGTAAGTGACTTCTTGGAATCTGCTTCACCTGTGTAAAATAAGATGATTTTACCTGATATACTTAAGGTTCCTTCCAGTTTGAAAATGCTGCAATTCTCTGTCTGGGTTTTAAATCTCATAACCTATGGCAAACCTGCAGCAAACAGTCTCCGTCATCCTAGTTCTGCTTAAGCTTCCAGGGCTATAGTTTTCATGCCATGCATTGGAACCAGAAGTGTTACTTAGGCTCGGTTCTCTTTGGACACAAGTGAAAAGTCTAAGCGAAGGGAATGTAGAGGCTGTGTGGGGACAGCGAGGCCTGGGGTCAGGCTCTTCTTTGCTGCTGCTGTGCCACTCAGGCATGGCCGTCGCTACAGACCTGGGAATATTCTCCTCGGATGAGTATGTGACCTTGGGGGCTGTTTTCAGAAAGGTCTGGAAGCATGTGCTTCACAGAAGCATAGAATCATTGACTATAAGGGCTGAGAGAGCTCTGAGAAATCATTTAGAGCATCAAAGTACATGAGACAAAACTGATAGAACTGCAAGGAGAAACTGGTGAGTCACTCTCACAATGGGAGGTTTCAGCCCCCCGTCTCAGTAACTGATAGAACATGCAGGCAGAAAAGCAGCAAGGACCAGCAGCATCAGTCAGCTGGACTCGATGGTATTTGTAGAATACTTCATGCAAAAACAGCAGAATACACATTCTTCTCAAGCACACATGAACCATTCACCAGACAGATGGTATTCTGTGCTATGAGATATAATCTTAACAATTTGAAAAGAACAGAAATCATTCAAAGTATGCTTTGAATGGAATTCAACTAGAATCAATGGAATTAACGTGGAATTAAACTAGAAATCAATAGCAGAAAGTTAACTAGGAAATTCCCAAAATGTGTGGAAGTTAAACAATGCATATGAAAATATGCACCAACTTTTTGCAACAAGTTTGTTGCCAGAACATAGCCACAGCCAGAATGGGAAAGGAGAAGAATGGGACCATCAACATGGTCATCACTGGACACGTCGACCAGAGCAAATCCACCACTACTGGTCATCTGCCCTACAGATGTGGTGGGACCACATAAGAGCATCAAAAAATTCCAGGAGGTCCTGTGAACTGGGAAAGGGCTCCCTCGAGTCTGCCTGTCTTGGTTGGGTAACCTGAAAGCTGAACAGGAGCGTAGAATCACCATCCATGTCTCCCCATGGATATTGGAAACCAGCAAGTGTTATGTGACCATCGATTCCTCAGGACACAGATATGTTGTCAAAACACAATTACGGCCTGCACAAGTCTAAGGTACTTTCCCAAGGGGACCCGTAGAAGAGCGACAGAGGGGCCAAACAAGGCTGGAAAAGGAAGAGCAAAACCAAAGTCAGGATAAACACTGCCATTGTTAACCTCCCCACGGGTCTCTCACATCTGTTTCAGGAGCCTCCTTCCAGGTCCTCCAACTCCCTGGCACAAGCCCCCGCCCAGGAACAAACACAGCGTCTTCACCCGCCCCTCTGCTCCATGTGTCTCCTCCAGGTCTCCTTGCTCCTTCCCCCTTCCAGCCTGGCTTCTCTCCTCAGGCTCCTCTTCAGCTTCTCCTGCTGCTCATCTCCACCCTTCCTTGTGGGGCAGAGAACCTGGAATCTCCCTTCCCCTGGGGACTACCCTGTTACATAGCCTCTGGAAGACAGTTCAACAGTTTCCTATAAAACAAAAACCTACTGGGCCCTCCCTGGTGGCGCAGCGGGTTAAAGCACAGCACTAAGAAGCTAAAGCCACCTCAGCATGAGTTCTATCCCCGCCTGCCCCGGAGGTGACCACATGGCGTGGCAGACCTCTCCTGACCCGCCCGCTGCTCCCCTCAGCAGTGTACTTCGTCGATCTGACTGTTCTGCTCCCCACTCTGTCCCTGGTAAATCCTCTCACCCTCCGCATCTCTGGCCTGTACCCCCATTCTGTACGAATAAATAAATAAATCTTTAAAAAACAAACAACAAAAACCTACTTCTTTAGCATATGGGTCCAGCACACTCCTTGGCATTATCCAAATGAATTCAAAACTGTCCACACAGAAAGTTGCACTTGGATGTTTATATTTTACTTGGAAGCCACCAACATGTTATTCGGGATAAACTCTGGTTCATCTGGACAATGGAATATTATTCATTGCTAAGAAGAAATGAGCTATCAAGCCACGAGAAGATATAGAGGAACCTTAAATACATATTATTACATGAAAAAAGTCTTATCTGTAAAGGCTACATATTATATTACTTCAATTACATGACATTTTGGAGAAGAAAAAAATGGAGGAAATATGTCTCCAAAACCATGAAGACATTAAAAAGATCAGTGGTTGCCCACTGGGGAGATGTGAATAGATGGAGCATAGAAGACTCTTAGAACAGCCAAAATACCCCACACAATACAATAACAATGGCAATCTGTTATTATGCTAGTGTTGAAACCCACAGAATGTACACTACCAAGAATGAACCACAGGAACATTATGGACTTTGGTTGCTGATGATGTATTAGTGTAAATTCAGCCTGACATATACAAAGTCAGAATTTACCACTCTGATGAGTGACATTGATGGTGAAAGAGGCCTTGCAGAGGTAGAGGGCAGAGGTACATGAGGAACCTCTACTTACTCTTGATTGTATATAACCCTAAAGTTGCTCATAAGATACTAAGTTTTAGAAAATACTGAAAAGATCTCAAATGAATACTGTGAGCCTCTACCTTAGGAAACTAGACAAAGAAGAGCAAACTAGATCCACATTAAAAGAAATCACAAACATGAGAGCAGCCATCACTGCAATTGAAAACAAGAAGTCCGTAGAGAAAGTCAGTGCGGCCCAAAGCTGGTCTTTGAAAAGGTCAACGAAAGTGATAAGCTTCTGGTCAGACTAGTCGAGACAACAGGAGCGAAGACCCAAGGCATCATAAATGAAACAGGAGCTATCGCCATGGATCCCACAGCCTCTAAAAGCACCATACTGGAGGAGCTCTGCGCAGGGCTGACAGCCTAGATGAAAGGGACCGTGTCTTCACAAGGCACGGGCTACCGAAACCCACACTTGGGAGAAATGGGTCATTTGAACAACCCCTCTGTCCACTAATGAAATCTCAGTATAAGCCCTCATTTTACAGATGGAGGAACAGACACCTGGGTTGGCGGGGAGTGATTTATCTGAGAATTCTCAGTGAGTTGGTGGCAGAGGCTGGGCTAGAGCTCAGGGCCGCGGTGCTCTTGAATCTGCCTGGGGTTTAGACTTGGAAGAGACCTTAGTGATTACTTTGGAGGTGCCAGGTACCCCTTTAAGACTGGGTTGAGATGGTAGCAGGGATGTGTGAGGTGTGAGTGTGGAGTGTGAAAAGCAGCGTGGGGCGTGAGCGGGGGACATGAGGGGGTGGGTGTGTGTACAAGCAAGTATTGGAAATGTGTTAGTGTTTGGGGGGATGTGGCATGGTTGCCCAGTGGAGATGACGAGAGAGCTGCTCTGTTTGGGTCTGCTGCCCCTCTAGGAGGTCCCATTGTGCCTGCTGGATGCTCCTTATCAGCTTTCTGATAGACATGGCAATTGGGGCAATAACCAGACATCTCACCATCTGCTCCAAATCAGGTGAGTCCAGGCCTCAGGCCCCTAAGCACTGACCCCAGGACACCCCGTCACAGGTCCCCTCCTTCATCCTCTGACATCAACAGGCCTTCATGAGCCACCGATCCTGGCCTCATCGCTCGAGTAGCAGAAGCAGCCCTGGAGCAGCACGGGGAGCCTCACATCCAGAGCTGGCCCCTGTGGTCTGGGGCTGTCCACGCCTCAGTGTCCTTATCTTCCCTGCCTCCTGTTCAGGGCCCGTCTGGGAACTGGGAGTGGGAGTGGTGGGTGTGGTGGTGGGTGGGGTGTGGAGGAGTGGGGACATGAAACATCTCCCCAGCAAAGCAGCTGGTTTAAAATACAATAAAGTATTTTATGTAAGATTTTACTTGAAAAGTGGCCCCAGAGCTTTTCAGTTTGATCCATAGTAGTCTAACCCTTGCTAAAACCATGCCTGAGTGGGGAGAGCAACTGTCTTGAGGCCACGTGGTCAGTCTGAGGCAAAGCCAGGAGGATCCCTACCCCCTTGATCTATAGACCTCCGGGGTGAACAGCTTCAGAGTCCTGGGCCTCAGGACCCTGCTTGTGTCCACCTCTGCCCCTCCCCACCCTGGGGGCCAAAGTACATAGTGTGAGTGTAGCTCTGACCATGGGCCTTCTGGAGCAGGAGTTGAGCTGAATGACTTCGCCGTCTTTACCACCTTTGGCCTGGCCTCAGCCCTGCTCCTAGGTGTGAATGGACCTCTGAATGGATTCCTGGCCATCATCTATATCTTAGCAACTTCTTTTCGCCTGTGTTCTTATTCTACTTGTAAATGGAACTCAAGTAAGTCTCAGGGCTGGGGCAGGGAGCCCTGGAGGGAGGGGCGTAGGTTGCCAGAGGCCTGGAGGTCAGTAGCTGACTCCTCTCCTTCCTCTGTGGAGTCCCGCTTCCTTCTGGAACCTGGTGCCCACTGGCGGCAGGCTATACTGGCAGGGCTGCGGCCTGGCGAGCGGGACCCTGGTTCTTGGAACAACTGTTCCTGTTTCTCATGTGTGACCTTTAGATGGAACATGTCAATTCACAGACTCCAGGACTACAGGTCATACTCTAGTTTCCTAAAACACATGGAGAAACTGAGCTCTGGCGTGGACAGTTGCACAAGGTCACAACACAAGGGAATGCAGAAGCTGACTACAAGTCCTCAAAGCACCCTCCACAGTGGCTTCTTCGTGGCCTGGGCCTGTGGCTGGTCCTCCCTGGCTGCTTGACCTCAGGCATCCAATGCAAAACCCAGACATCATTGCTGTGAATAGCTAAATGCTTTATGGTTTGCCCCTGCCCTAGGATTAAAGGGATTTGGAGCACAATCATGGGCGGAGGGTTGGGGGCAGGTGGGTAGGAGGAGAAAGAAACTTGCTTCACATAGATGCCTTTAGCAGAGTAGAGTAGCTAATCTCTACCTTTTCTTTCCCTAACAGACATCCCCTTCATGTACAAGGGCCTGCCCTGCCCCTATGCGTCCTGTGTTCTGGCCTCCACCTCCCTTCTTACGAAAGGCAACCCTCTCATTCTCTCCTGCATGGCCTCACTCATGGTTCTGTTCATGATAGACCAGAGTTACTACCCACATGATGGAATCCTGGAATCTGAGACCTGGAAAAAAATAGTTTATTTGGGAGGTGAGTGAAAATGCTGCTCTGAAATGCCCCTGTGGCCCTCCTTGGGGCTGTTCGCTGCCACCCAGTGCCTTGCCCAGCATCCCCTAGTTCTCACAGCCTGTTCTGTTTTTCGGCATGGAAAGTGAACAAACTGATGTAGCCTAGCTGGCAGAACACCTACCGCAAAGTAGGCATTCCACAAATGTTGGTGCCCTTTCAGTGGTGAACCGGAAATCCAAATGGGGTTCCCTAAGGCCACCCCAGGTTTGAGGTTTCTTTAGAACTCACAGGACTCTGCATATTGTCACATTCATGACTCAGATTGATTACAACAAAAGGATGCAGAGCAAAACCAGTAAAGGGGTGAAGTCTGGTGGAACCAAGCTTCCAAGAGGCCTCACCTAGTTGTCACTCAGGATACAATTCCTGCACCAGCATTGGGACAACAGGCATGAGGGAAGAGCTTTAGAGACCCAGTGCACGAAGATTTTATAAGGACTGGCTACCAGGGCACCCTCTGGCAAGCACACCCCAGAATTCCAGTCTCCTGAAGGAAATTAGGTGTCAGCCTAAGTGATCTTGCTTGTTCTGTTCAGGCACGTTCTTCCCTGCTAGGGAAGGTTTTATATTGATGTAGGAACTGTTGACTTTCCAGGTTCCCGGATACAAGTATAAGCCAACCTCGTAAGCAAGACTCTCTAAGGATAATGGCCTCAAGTCCACTATGTTGATTCTTCACTGCATATGTCTAAGATTGTACAGGCCATTATCACAAGTTACACATGTGTATATTATGTATTCATGCATATAGTTTTCCCCAAAAGGGATCTGGCCAAGTCACATTTATTCTTGGCTAGGACCGGTTTATGATCTAAATTTGGCAAAACGAAACCTGACATTGCATTAGACTACGAGTCGAGCTACATAGAGACAAAACTTACAGGCAGTTCTGTCTCGCCAGTTCGCGTTTCTTGGGCACCGTGAGAACTAAGGGAGGGGAGGCCAGCAGGGGGCGCTACTTACAAGGCAACTTCCTGACGGCGGGCGTCTGCCCGTTTTCTCCTTCCAGGTGTCATCATGCTGTTTTTGTTTCCATTCTCCATAACTGCTTTTTACTGCCTGATGTGGTCGCTCTCCTACATCTTCTTTCCAGATGCTCTGTGGGGCAAGGCAATGTGTCTTAAGCTGCAGCAGGAAGGAAACTGAACCGCTCTATCGGCACCCACTGGTCTCCCTGGTGTCTGCTCCAGCGTGTCGGGCCACGCCCTGCTGTACCCTCACTAAAGCTCTCTTTATCCCTGTGCTGTGCACATGTTCCGTACATGATCAGTCTCTTGCCTTGAACCAGAGCAAGTCCAAGCAGACCAGAGGCCTTCACTCCCTCCCCTTTATTTGGGGCTCTGAGCTGCTAAGAGAAAATAATTGCTATGTCATAGAGTGCAGAATTTCTCCAAGTTACATTTGGGCCAGGTTTGAGTTCCAGCTCTGTCCCCACTGGTTAACCTCTTGGAAAGGAGTGGAACTTTGCAACACTGGCAGTACCTGCTCCTTGGGCCTGCTTGATGGCGGTTCATCTGGCGCCAGTGCTTACTGAAGCACTTGTTCATAACTTGCAGACTGTGACTCTCCACAGCAGAACTAATCAAAGGACAATCACAGCACTCTGTTTGTGCAGAAACTTGAAACTTAACAGTTCTGTAGTTCGGCAGTCAAAGTTTATGCCTTCTGCTTTTTTTAGATACATTGGCAGCTCAAGGACGTAGTTGGTTTCCAGGATCTCATTATGTTTTTGTCCCTAATGCTAAACTCTAGATATTCAAATACAAATCAAACAGAAATGGCTTGTACAGTATCCTCAGATCGCACTTGACAGACCATAAGCCCACTGGAATGATGGCCCCCAGCACTGCCTCTGGACTCTCCAGAGGTCTTATACTAAAGATGGTTGGCTAGCCAGCCCCTCCCCCAGCCAGGCCAGCAGGTCACCTTTCCTCTCAGGCCTGACTCCTTGAGGTCTCAGTCAAAAGGATTACATTTAAATTTAGGTTTTAAAAATGAAAATCTGAGGAAGTCCAGTTACTATGATTTGGCTGTAAAGGACAGCTAGCAACTTGGCCCCTTTATTTTGGACTCATCGCTATTAAATCACTTATATGTACATCTAAACATGCTTAGATAAGAATGTCTGTGCCCCACTAGATTTTAAACTCCTTTATTTTCTGCTGCCTACCATTCAAAGTACTTTGTAGAGGAAGTGATTTCCTCATGTCCTCTTGGAGTTATAGTCAAGCTACCTATATATGCGGTGAGAATTCTGTAAATATACCTGGGGTCCTCAATAATGTACCCTCTTTTTAATGATGCTACCCTTCATCAAAATATTTTGGGAACTCTACTTTGAGAACATCTCCACACTCTTAAAGACCAGCACATGGTCTGTGCTGGGACACAGCAGGTGCTTCAAAAATACTGAATTCTGAACTGACCAAATTCAGAGAAAAATTAAAACAAGCCAGCGATGAGAACATCATTCACAGTGACCTGAAGCAGCAGGGGGCATAGGGAAGGGTTAGGCATCACCCAGCCACAGTAGGGAGAATACTGGCATCATCAGTGGGGAGAGTAAGTGGGTGGTGATCTGTCACGCTTTGTTCTAAGTGACCTGCCTCATCTCCATACACACTCCACTTTCTAACATCCGTCTCCCTACTCCCAAGGAATATATGGAAATGAAAGATCCTGAAAGAGTAATTTCTACTGCTGGAGCTGAGGTATGAACCACCACTCCTGACAGAAATGTCTGTAGCAGAAGTAACTTGACATTTCTACACTTACAGAAGGCAGGTAGGCGGGTGGGTTCTTGAGGAGCCAATCTAAGCCAATAGCTGTATGTCTAAAGCAAAAAGTTAGGATCGCTATGCTCTGCAGAGCTTTAGCTCCGGGAAGAATGAAGAATTGGAGCGGTCAAATTCTTTATCTTCTCTCCTGTCCTTTCCTTTCCCCACCTGGAGGAGAAACGGCTCCCTGTCCTTACTGCCTTTCTTACCTGCTACAATCCTTGTAACTACTTTTCACAGCTAGGCATACCCAAATTAAAGTGAGTAAGGGAACATTTCATGGGTATTTTATTTGTATTTTTGGAGATTTACAGTTTCACAAGAAGCACTGATTTTTCTCAAATAATAGAAAAACATTTTTTTGTTTAAAAAGAATCTATTGTCTTAGAAGAATAAAGTAAGTCTCTTCAGCAAGCGCTGAGACAATTCATATTGAGAAGTTACACGCAGGAAGTTCAGATTCATCCAGTTTCAGGACAACACAAGTGTCTCCTCATCTAGTTCTGTGAGGCTCCAAGTGGGCCATCTCAGCTTAAAATGGTAACAAGCTCACAAACAGAGCCTCCGGGCCCGGTGTCCTGTGAATGCGGTGGCTCACTCTCCAGGAGGCTGCATTTGTTTGCAGAACTCGTCAAACTGCTGTTGCTCCAGCTCTGTCATCACTCTGTTGAGGGCGTAGATCTGAAAGGGAGAAAAACACACGTCAGCAATGGGAACAGCTGCTCAGCCTCTCTTCAGACACAACACGCATGTCATCTGAAGATGCCAGAACAGCATCTACTCTCATTAACTGGGTTCTGGTCAGATCACTTCACTTCACATGAGGATAACACCGCTACCTCAGAGGGACATGTGTCTGTTATCCGCCTTATTCCAGGAAGGCTGACATGGGAATGACAGTAGCACCTGTCCTGAAGCCCTGGCGTGAGGAAGCCTGACAGGTGGTAGTGCATGTGCAGGTTGGCCCCATGCCTGGCACATCTGAAGAGCTTAATACATGCCAGCTGCTACTAGACTGCAAATCCCCTTCTGTATGTCAGCAAACAACATACCATGATTAGTTGTTCAATTTATGAAGTCCACACAATAAAAGCACAATGTGCTTTGGAACAGCCCAGAAGCACAATGATTCCCGACAGCAACCACTGCCATTTGTTGGGTGTCTTCTCTGTGACGGGTACTGTGCTAAGTGCTTTACAGGTACATTTCTGTTCTTTGTAATAATCCTCTGAGTTATCTATCACCCTCATTTTACCAAGAAGCGGCTGAAGTACAAAGAGCTGAAGTATCTTGTCCAAGGTCACATGGGAAGAACTAGGGTATGTGGAGAATTAGGATTTGAAGTCAGACAAATAAATCAAACTTTTGGAATCTCACTGGAAGAGAGTCACTAAGAACATGAACAACTGTCCTCAATATCCGTCCCTACGATGTGCACAAAGAGCTTCCTAGGCTGGCCCCTGCAGCAGCCCTCACAGCACAATGCAGTAAAATCACCTGGCCCTGGATGCACACACGGGCAGCAAAGAAAAGGGGCTAACAGCTTGTGAGAATCCAGGTCCACCACTCAGATGGTCGGCCTTGATCCAGTGGTAGAGTTCACCTCCTGGATTAACTTCAAACACCATTTAATTTACTTTCGATGTGCACCATCTGCCTTCCCCTCTGAATGCAAGCGCATGAAGGCGGGGGTTCTGCTCTGCCTGTCTTGTCTGCATCTCTAGTTCCTACCACAGTGCCTGGCACATAACAGCAGCTCAGTAGCTGTTGATGAATAGATCAGGTTAACAAATAAGTAAATTGTGACTATCTGAGAACTCTCTTACACTGGGGGTGTGAATTTGTGCGAGCTTTTTGAAAGCAATATGGCAACATCCAGCAAAGCTTTAAATGTACCCAGTAACTGCTCTTCCATATAGATATACCCTGCAGAAATGGTAGCACAGGTGCCAAAGGAGTCACTGAAAAGGTTTTCACTGCATCGGTATTTGTAATAGCCAAAAACAAAACAAACTATGAATAGTTTAAATACCTGTAACTGGAAGGCTGGGTAGGCATACTGGTGTGGATTCAGAAAATAGACTACTGTAAGCAGTGATGAAGAACAAACTAGATTCTCATATTAACATGAACTGTTCCCCCAAAACATACCATAAGCAAAGGAAAAATAGGATATTTTGTTAAAGTAAAAATTAAAAACACAAAGAAATATATTCCATGGGTATCAATTAATATATCTGAATATAAAAACATAAAAAACAATAGTGTTGTCTATGAAGAGGGAACAAAAGATTTAAGACAGGATATGGAAGGGGCCCCCAAATTTATATACCATTTTTATTGTTTAAGAAAGATTCCAGGCAAATATGACAAAATGTCACCTCTATCAAGCTGGGGTGCCAAACACCCAGATGTCATAACATTCTATTCTTCTACATCTCAAACTTTCTCAAAAACAAACACAACAAATAGGGTGCAACAAGCTTTGTCCTGATGTTAAATACTAAAACTACTTGTGTCTGCATGTGGTTCAATAGAGACAAAGAGTTTAAACTTTTCATTCTCAAATTGTTAATAAATATTGGCAGAACAAAGGAACACACTGTGGGGTGCAGAGCTCTCTTCTTGGTTATGAGCAGCGATTTCCCAGGCCAAAGTCAAGGCCTGTGTCAGGGGGTGTCTGACACTTGCTCTCTGGTTCATTGTCCCTTCCCTCACATGTTCCTCTTCTTTCTCCTTTCTTACTTCCCTCAGCCCCCCCACCTCACCCCAAAACACTATCCCAGGCGTCCTCTGGTGACTTGGTATTGATTGGGGTCCTGACACTAACTTGGCATGGGGTGCTGGGCTGCCACTTTGGCATCCTGGAACTTAGGGGCACCCTCTGTAACCCTGGGAGGGCATGTTTGCCTCGAGGCAGGCCGGATCCCACCACCTTTCTCCCCTATTCTCCACTCCAGCATCACCTCTGCAGACTACAGTATACAGGCCCCTCCTGAATCTCACCTCTGCTCTTTGTCTTTGCTTCAGCTCCTGCTGGGCTGACTTCTGCTTGGCCTTCTCAACTCTGCTGACAGGTTCTTTAACTTTGGACTTTTCTTTACGTGCAGGTGTATCCATGACTTGGTTTCTGAATCTTTCTTAGCTCTGACTTGGATCGTTCAGAAAGAGGCTGGTCTTTAAAAACAAAAACACGCACAAAATAAGCCCCAAACAACTGCCATCGCGGAACGAATGCCCCAGCGGGGCCCCTTCCTCTGGCAGGCGGGGCAGAGACGCCCTGTGTAAAGGGTGCTGGCCTGGGCGTGTCAGGCCCTGCCTCACCGCCACGACCCGCCGACCTCCCCACAATGGGCCTCTGTTTCCTCCGTCTGCAAAATGGGCCAGTGGGCCAGTCCCTCCCTGCCCTCCTCAGGGCTGCCGCGGAGGACCAAACCAGAGGAGCCGGGGGAAGGGATTCACACACGGCAGCGCGCAGGGCCCGGCGCGGGGCTGCTGGGATGCGAGGACGCCCGGGCCGCAGGGGCGAGCCGGCCGCAG